GGGGTGGGAGGGGGAGGGGGGCTGAGAGGGATGGCTAAGGGGCACTAAGGGGTCTACTCCTAAATCCCATTGTTATATAACTAATTTGGGTATAAATTTTAAAAGATAATAAAGTTAAAAAAGAATAAGATTTAAAATAAAAATTAAAAAACAAAAAGTTATGTTTATACTATTCTGTAGCCTATTATGTGTGCAATAAAATCATGTCTACTACAACAACGCACATATTTTAATTAAAAAATACTTGGGGCGCCTGGGTGGCTCAGTCGGTTGAGAGACTGACTTTGGCTCGGATCGTGGGTTTGAGCCCTGTGTCAGGCTCTGTGCTGCTTGGAGCCTGAAGCCTGCTTCAGATTCTGTGTCTCTCCCTCTCTCTCTCCCCCTCCCCCACTTGTGTGCATGTGCTCTCTCTCTCTTACAAATAAGTAAAAAAAAAGAAAATTTTTTTTTTAATCTTAAAAAAATACTTTATTGCTGGGGCACCTGGGTGGCTCAGTTGGTTAAGTTCAGTTGGTCCGACTTTGGCTCAGGTCATGGTCTCACAAGTTCGTGAGTTTCAGCCCTACACAGGACTTCATGCTGACAGCGGTGAGCCTGCTTGGGATTCTCTCTCTTGGGATTCTGCCTCTCCCTCCCACTCTCTCTCAAAATAAATAAATTTAAATAAATAAATAAACATTAAAAATACTTTATTGCTTGAAATGGTAACCATCATCTGAACTTTCAGCAAGTCATAATCCCTGATCACAGATCAGCATGACATGTATAATAATAAGGAACAGTTTGAAATACTGCAAGAATTACCAAAATGTGACACAGACATACAAAGTGAGTAAATGCCGTTGGAAAAATGACAACGATAGACTTGCTCGATGCAGGGTTTCCACAAACCTTCAATTTGTTAAAAACACAGTATCTGCAAAGTGCCATCAAGAGAAGTGCAATGAAATGACGCCGGGTTTCTATTGGATTGTGATCATGATGCTATGAAGCAGACATGATATCCGTGTAGAAGGTGAAATTACAAAACTTGGGGCAATTTATTTCCCTTCTCTGAAGTCAAGCATGTTAGTGCAGAAGGATTTGAAGCTACGTATTACTCCAAGGTTATGTTCTTGAACTTAACTATGAGAAGTCCCCCTCCTGTGGTTTCGTCTCCCGTGGAATCTCACCCAGGCCCCAGAGAGCTCTGGAGAACCCCTCAGAGGCCACAGAAGGGTGAGGAGACAGGCTGACCTCAAGACCTACCACTTCAGCGTCAACTAGAGGCTACATTTATCCCTTTTACATGTGGGGCTTCTCATAAGACATTTTTTTTTTAATTTATTTTCAGAGAGACAGAGACAGTATGAGTAGGGGAGGGGCAATGAGAGAGGAAGAAAGAGAGAGAATCCCAAGCAGGCTCTGCACTGCCAGCACAGAGCCTGATGTGGGGCTTGAACCCACGAACTGTGACATCATGACCTGAGCCGAAATCAAAAGTCAGATGATTAACTGACTGAACCACCCAGGCGCCCTGAGACGTCATTTTTAAAAAAGGTTTATTTATTTATTTTGAGAGAGAGCGAGTGGGGAGGGGCAGAGAGAGAGGGAGAGAGAGAATCCCAAGCAGGCTCCTCACTGCCAGCACAGAGCCCGATGCAAGGCTCAATCTCACGAACTGTGAGACCATGACCTGAGCCGAAATCAAGAGTCAGATGTCTAAACTGACTGAGCCACCCAGGCGCCCCATAAAACATCATTTAACAGGAAGTTTGAGCACCTGGGTGGCTTAGTCGGTAGAGCATGTGACTCTTGATCTCGGGATCGTGAGTTCAAGCTCCCTGTTGGGTGTGGAGATTACTTAAATAAAACTTAAACCCCAAAAGTTTGAAAAGCAAATAAAAGCAAGTTTGAAAGCCTCTGGCACTCCCTGCTGCCCAAGAAAGCCAGCTGACTGCAGTTAGCCCCTTACCAAGTTTTGAGCAGATGGCAACGTTAGGGTCCTGTTATCTCCTCTCCTGCTCTACATCCATCTTTTAGCATCTGTCTATTCTAGTAATCAACAACAGTGGTCACTTTATCAAAGATGTATATCTTCAGCCAGGAGCTAGACACATCATCCCGTCTTATCTTACTGCAGCACTGTGGTACGGAGGCGGAGGCGTTGTCACCTTGCTATCACTGTTGTACTTGTAGACTGCAGAGGTCAAGGGCCTAACCAAGGCGGCACAGGGAGACCTAGGTCAGCCTCACTCCAGTGCCCTTGCTCTTCCATAGCCCCATGCTGCTTCCCCTCCCCATCTACTGTTGCACACCAGTCGATAGCAGTCCTCGCATTCCATGGAAGGTGTGTGAGCCCCAGGAAGCAGCTCTGAGTAGGTAGTTGGGTCAGTTTCTTGGGTGGGGAATGCCATCCATGGTGGGGACTCTCGGCATGAGAAACAGGACAGTTCCTCCTCTTCCTGAAGCAGGTGAGGCCGGGAATGCTGGGAAGGAATGAGCTGACTCAGGAGCCAATGTGAGCAGTTGGCCTGGCAGTTATTAATCTTGTCATCATAAGTAGCTCAGTTTCTGATTTAAACTTTTTTTTTTTTTGTATGCTTGTGTAATAAGCACACTTAACATGAGGTCTATTTTCTTAAAGTGTTTTTTTGTTTTTTTTTTTAAGTAAGCATTATGGGGCGCCTGGGTGGCACAGTCGGTTAAGCGTCCGACTTCAGCTCAGGTCACGATCTCGCGGTCCGTGAGTTCGAGCCCCGCGTCGGGCTCTGGGCTGATGGCTCAGAGCCTGGAGCCTGTTTCCGATTCTGTGTCTCCCTCTCTCTCTGCCCCTCCCCCGTTCATGCTCTGTCTCTCTCTGTCTCAAAAATAAATAAACGTTAAAAAAAAAATAAAGTAAGCATTATGCTCAACGTGGGGCTTGAACTCACGTTGACCCTGAGATCTAGAGTCACACGCTGTACCGACTGAGCCAGCCAGGTGCCCCCATCTTCTTAAATAGCTTAAAATATAACTTTTTAAGAAGATGGGGGCACTTGGGTGGCACAGTCGGTTAGGCCTCTGACTCGATCTCAGCGCAGGTCATGATCTCACAGTTTGTGATTTCAAGCCCCTGCATCTAGCTCTGCACTGGCAGTGCGGAGCCTACTTGGGATCCTCTCTGCCCCTCCCCTGCTCTCTCTCTCTCTCTCTCTCTCTCTCTCTCTCAAAAAATAAATGAACTAAACTAAATAGATAAATAAATAACATTCTCAGTCGGCCTCAATTTACGTGTCCCCTCTGAGCTTTTGTTTTCTTTATGCAAAATGACAACGCTCTTCTTGCAGTGTTGTAAGATATGTCTGTAAGATACAAAGCACCCAGCACACAATTTGCACTTACTAAGTGATGACTGTGTTTTTGCACTCGTCCTCCTGCATCCTTTGGGCTTTGTGGCCTGTCCAGATACCCTTGGGATCTCAGAAACTCTCTGAGTACAAAGACCTTATCCTTATCGGCCAACCAGGTGGTCGCCGACCACTATATAGTTCAGGTCTTCATGCTGGAATTGAGGGAGCACCAAATTTAGAGTCGGGAAACCTGGCTGGAATCTTGAGCTTTGCTCTGATTTCATCTGGAAAGAGATACTTTTTTTTTCTTTTCTTTTTTTTTTTTTAAACAGGCTGTCTTGATAAACTGTGTTTTGTGCGTAGAAAGGCATTTTTTGGCATCTCAGAGATTTTTTTTCATTCCGATCACTCAGATCTGACCCTAGCTGTACCCATCAGCAACTCTCTGGCCATCATCTTCACACTGATTGTTGGGAAGGTCCTTGGAGAAGATATTGGTGGAAAAGGTAAGTTAGACTGCTTGCTAGTGCAGGAAGCCGCTACATGGGCCTTGCCACCCCTGGTTAGTCCTTTCCAGAGCCATCTCCCAAGGGCAGGGGAGGAGAGGATCTTTCCCCATCCCACCCCTTTCTTCTGCAGCTCTTCCTTAGAGCCATCAGAGTTTCCTTCCCCTGGGCGTTCTGGGGACAGACCCCATCTGAGCTGGGCTCCTCCTAGCGTGGCTGGGCTCATCCCCTCGATTTCTGCCCATTCTCCCAGGAGCATTCACAGGCATGGTGCTCACCATGGCAGGAATTACACTCTGCGTCACAAGCTCCGTGAGCAAGACCCAGGGGCAACTGTCTGCCCGTTGAGTGGGCCGATGCCACCCTGCAGCGCTTCTGTCTCCAGGAAGCCCCTGAGCTGTGAGGTGCAGCAGATGGACCTAGCACTTCCCCGCCTGAGCCTCAGCGTCCTCCTCTCTTAGGGGGCTAAGAGCTACCTCGTGGTGGATTGCACAAGAGAACTGGAGCAAAAGGGTTTTGTAACTTCCGAGATCTGTTCGACTGCTAGGATTTAGCACAAGAGACTTCACGCTCCTCCAGCGACCCTTCTGCCCCAGCAGCCCTCTTCGTGCTTTCATGTCAGGCCCCCAGCCCAGCCACTGTCACTATGGCCTGATCCGGACTGTCACAGCAGCAGGGTCCACGGACTGCATGGAGACAGCCAGCTGTAGTCTGAGCCAGAAATGCAAAGAGAAGGCCTCCAGAGCTGTCAGGGGCCCCCGCTGCCTGAGGGGCATCTGAGGGGATGAATGGCAGGTGTAGAGGAGATGAGCGGTCTGGTAGCATCGCCTGTCGCACCCATGAGATGGGTGGAAATCCTCACCAGCCTGCCCCTCTCAGACAGCCAGCCTCCTGTGGGCCCCTGCACCACCTCACTCCAGCCATGTGGTACGGTACCTGGCGAGCAGTAGCCTCAAATAAATCTGCACTAAACAGACGGAGGATAGTAAGTATTCTTTTATTGTGACAGACCTGCTCTCAAGTTTGTAGTCTCTCTTGGCTACAAAGGTTGGTTGGCTCCTCTTCTCTCTGGCCAGATAATCCCTTAAGGACATGGCCTCCATGGCTAGGGCTGCTCTATTCAAAGGAAAGTAAGACTAGGATGTGGGTTTAGGAGCAGAAGAGTGGGGCAGGGCTGAGGGGGCTACAGGGTATCCTGTGAGCCCAGGCGGGGCGCTGGGTCCCCTGGAACAGGCTGCTGGAGGCAAGGATAAATGGTGGCTGCAGAGTGGACGCCCCGGTTCCCGGCTGGAGCTGCCGGTGCCCAAGATGGCAGAGACAGGGCTGAGGCTGAGATCGCTGCCCCAGTCCCAGGCCGCTTTTCCAGGCACAGGGCCTCGTCCACCATCTGCACTGCCCTCTGGAGGAGGCAGAAGGCCGTACATAATGGAGCATTAGCATCCCTTGTCTCCAGCCCTCAGCTGAAGTTTCTGACCCCAGGAAAGGAAGAGACTAGAAATTTGGATCTGCTTTTCATTTAACAAGGTAGGAGGTTGGGCTTGGAGAGTTCGATCTGCTTACGGCACCAAGGGGGAACTGCCCCTGGGACCCAGGGCTGCGACTCCAGCTCAGAACTCCTGAACCAACATACTGCTTCCAGCCCCGGCACACCTGATCCAAGGGTTCCTCTGCACAGGTGTCTTCATCATCTGGCACTTCCTGGGCCCCCGCTGTCTCCTTCCTTGGGTGGGGAGCCTCATATACTCCTTTGACTCCTGATGAGGGACGCAGTGCGGGCTGATGCCCAGGCTGAGGAGCCATCATTCCCTTGACCTCTCCCAGCCCCTCCCCCTGCCCTCCCCTGAGCCTTGCTCCACGTTCCCTACTACCTCAGAGGATGGCAGCATAGCTCCCAGGCAGGCCTTTGGCCTCCATCCCTTTCACACCCCCCGCTGAAGTTTCAGTGCTTTGAGTTTCCCTGTGCCTCTTTCTGTATTGCCAGGTCCCTGCGAAGAGGCCAGGGACCGCATGTGCACATGGGGGAGCAGGGAAGATTTGTGCTGAGGTCAGGGCCGGCCCTGTACCCAGGCATTCTGCCCCCATAGACCTCTCCCATGACAGCAGGGACCATCCTGGATCCCTGTCAGAGGGTGGGTGAGAGGGTCCCAGGGTCCCCTCACCTGATGGAAATGAGAGAGTGGGGAGCCTGCTTCTTGGCTGAATGGCCTGCTGGCGTCTGGCATGAAAAGCAGATGGCTCAATTTGGCTTGGCTCCTTTGTAGAGGGCTGGGTTGCCTGTGCCCCGTGGCCATGGGCCTGTAGAGGGAAGACTGGGCTTGGGCTGTGGATGCTGGCTCTTCTTGCCTTCTCTCCTGCCAGGCCACGCTTGAATGCCCTTGGTGTCTGCGGGAGCTTGGGAGAGATGCCATCCATCTTCATAGCCTGCATGCTCCCTCCTGACTCCCTCTTCCCATCAGGCTGCCTTATCCAGGGACAGAACAGCTGGTGCCTGGCACTCAAGAAGCCCAGTGAAGCCAGGCTGTGCCCCCGAGCCCCCCAGTGCTCACTGGCTCATCTTTTGGGAGGGCTCAGGTCTGGGATCAGCTGAGGAGCGGATAAGCTCCTTTGGATCTTGCTATGTCAGATATGCCAGTTTTTTCTCCCAGCATCCAACCTGGCAGAAAGGCTTTAGGACCAGCAACTCAGTCTAAAGATCTTCGAGGAGCCTGGTTGAGCTGTCTCTTAGACCAGGTTCTGGTCTGGCCCCTGCCACTCAATAATTGTGTCATCCTGCACAAATTAGTTCACTCCTTTGAACTTCAGTGTCTCCACTAGAAAATGGGAACGATAACCTCTGTTTCACAAGGTGACTGAGAGGACGCAGGGACACGTGGTGAGAGCCTGAGCTGGAGGAGAGGTCAGCCAGTCACCCCTCATCTTTCCTGCCTCCCGTGGCCTCCCCCATCACCTACCCGCTGCTTGTGAGGCCTAGACTTTGGGTCTGGAGGGTGCCTGCAACAAAAAAAGAGAAAAAGTTTATAGTAGGCAGAGAAAGGCATGGAATCAGGGTGGCTTCCGCTGCTCTACCCTGCTACCCACCGCCTCACACATACATACCAGCAGCCCCTGGGCAGTGAGGGGCTAGGCACCAGCAGCTCCAGATAGGGGAGGGCCTTGAACTCATCCTTTCCCACAGCCACATAGTAATGGCCATTCACCAGAGCCTCTCTTGCTGACAGTGGGAGCCCTTCCAGGGTGCAGAGTCTGGGAGAGACAGGTAGGTGGGTAAGGGCCAGTAGACAAGATCCCTGTTCATATTTAGCAGACTGTGACGGGTTGGGTACAACTATTCCAAGGTACCCTTTGGCCACTTGCCCTCTGGACATCTGGGCCAGTCTCCTAGGCTCTGCCGGGCTCCAAGGGCTCAGCATAGAAGGAAGTGCCATTTGGGGAAACATGTTTTCTTTTGCTTTGTTGTCCTTAAGGACAGCCGAAAACTGTAGGGAGATGCCCTCCAGGGACTTTTGGGTCTCTCAGTCCCCATACTCACTTGCACACAGCTCCGGTCTGTAGTTTGGCCTTCTCAGTCAGGAGCTTCAACACTGTTTTCCAGTCCTCGCTGGCCGCCTGGGACAGCTTCAGGCTAAATGGGGGACTTAACAGGTCCCCATTCCTGAACACACTGGGACAAAGAGCAGCCTGGTAAGGAGAAGGGTCCCTAGCACTCCCCACGTATGAGAGGAAGAAGGGTAGCACAGGGCCAGAAAATGGTCTAAGAACATTGGTCCATTTTCACCCATCAGGCATGTTGGGACTTTTTATATCCCCATCAGAGACCAGGGGCTTCTGGAACAATCCCACCCACCTCTTGGTCTTACTGAAACAAAATCTGTGCTCCTGCTCCCGACACCAGCACTCACTGGATATAGCAGGGGGAACCTGCTGGTGGTCGTGGTCCACAGGTCCCATCACATGGGCAGTGAGTCTCAGGAGGATCCTGAAACCCAAGTCAGGCCCTCAGATCAGAAGACAGTTGAGGCCTTTGGTTAGGGGTGGGTTCGTCTGAGGTGGGTAGGGTGGTTGAAGGAGGGGACAAGGAGGGATGGGACTGGTCACACCTTTCACCAAAGGGAGCTTCTCCCTCCCTGAAGTCACATTCCAACCATCCCCTTGCCCTCGTGTGTTTTACAGCTTCCTTTTTCCTTTGGGGACCACAACCCGGAGGTAAAGGGAGAGGCTGGGAAAGGAGCAAGGGATAGCATCTTGAAATCCTGCACCCCAGGAAGGGTAGCAGCTGGCTCCAGAGAGGGTGTGGAGAGTGCCCCGCCTCCCAGCAGCAGATCCTGCTACTTCCAGGGCCCCTGACTTCCCAGACTGAACTGGGAACAATCCCAAGAGCAGGGAGAAGACAGAGGGCTAGAAGCCAGCACCCACCCACCCACCCCCACTCACTGGTAGTCTGCTGCTCTTTCCACCTGGAGCCTTCCGTCCAGGGGGTAAATAGCTGAAAAGACAGATGGGTCACAGGTCATCTCGGGAGCCTGGGACCTCAACACCCTGCTAGCTGCCTGAGTGAGGGTCTGGGGCTCAGCTTAGCAGGTATCCATTCCCACTGGGCCAGTCTCAAGACACCTCAGTCCAGAAACATCCTGACCTTTGAGCCTGCCTTAGGGCCCTGCATCAGGCTGACCACCCAGACCGGGGTCTCAGACACAAACCCTTAAGATTAAAGGTCAAGAGAAACTAGTTCATTAAGCATCTTACTGTAGCTCAGAAGTTTTCTCATTCATGAGGTTTTATCTCATTTTCTAGAAGACTGAAAGCTAAGTACTCACCTAAAGTAACACAGAAGTAACAGGTGACAGGGCCCAGGTTCTAAGTCTGAATGACTTCCCACCCCTCACTCCTTATGCTACCATCAACAGCTCAGTAGCACCTGGAAGCTCAGATGCTCAAATTATTTTCCCATCTTGGAAGGCATGGCCCCACCCTGCAAAGGGGGTGGCCCCAGCCCAGTGGGGAGCATAGGAGACCTAATCACAGCAAGGAGGAAGTGCTGGATGGATTTAAGTGTTTGGTGGTGATGGTGGTAGAATCCAATCAAGAGCCTTTGGAAAAAGGGGCTCAACCTGCTGGAGAATGTTCTGGTCCTGACGGTGGTGGGCATGAACATCAGACTTCACCCAGAGCCATGACTCCACTATTTGTTGGGTACTCTTAGGCAGGTTTCCTTGATTGTCTTCTAAAGAACAGGGATAAGACCACCTCCTGCGTAGGGCTGCCATATTCCAGAGGAGAACACGTAAAGTGCCTGCACGTACATAGTACTGAACACGTGCTACTGCGCTTGCAATTACCTCCCTCCCAAGGCCCTAAGCAGCCCCAGCCCACTCACTGCAGCTTGCGGAATCTTTCAAAGCCAGCAGCCACATACTGCCCTCCGTTCTGCAGGTCCGCCAGGTCCGTGACAGGGTGGCCATGACAAGGCGTATAGAGGGCCCGCACAGCCACTGGGGCCTGCACAGCCGATGTCACCTCACAGAGGAAGGTCTCCAGGGTGGGAAAGCGGCGTTGACTCACCACCAGCTGGCAGCCTGGGGAGAAGGGGTCCCCATTCCGGTATACCACTACCCTCTTGGCTGCTGGATTACCACCACTGGCCATCGTGTCCTCGGCAAGAGACGCGGAGCTGTTGCCCGGCAACTAGGCAGGCTGGGAGCAGTGCCAATCAGAGGCGGAGTCCTGCTCCCTCGCCCAGGAAGGTGGGGAGAGACTCCGCAGGAGCATCTGTCTGTGTTCAGGGTCTCATCCAGCCACACAGAGTAGGGTGGATCTGATCACTATACTGGAAGGGAAGACCCTGGGGCTCAGTGAGGGAGGCAGTGGTGGAGATTGCACTGAAACACAGATGTTCCGATACTGGATAGAGGGAGGAATTCTCTGAAGCTCTCTGCCACCCTGCAGCCCAAGGGCTGAGCTCAAAGGTGGATCAGCTTTGGGGACTGTTCCTAAGGATGGCCAGTCTGCCCCTGGACTGTGGTTCCCAGCCAGCCCTGGGGAAGATGCCCCATGCCAGCAGGAAAGGAACACGTGGGCCCCAGTGTCCTAAACAGAGGCAGAAGACAAACACAGCCAGATGCAGAAGCCAAGAAAAACCTTTATTCTCCACCAGGCTCCCCACTTTACTTATCCCAGGTAACTCCCTGCCCCCAAATTTGGAGTAAGCCACAGGCGGAAGATGAAAGAGTATCCTCCCACCCCTCCCTATACCGGTGCCAGCTCTCTGCTCCAGCTTCTCTTGGCCCCATGAGCCACCAATGGCCAAGGGCAGGAGGTAGAGCTAGTACCAGGGAGCAAGGATGAGGCCCTGGCTCCCCAGGGTCTAGCCTGGTGGTCCTGTTTTCCATGGCTTGTCCTTCCAGTGGTCCTCTCCTGTGTGGGCAGACTCTGTCAAAGACAGTTTCTTAGGTGGCCTCGATCGCCATGGTACAGCCCTCTGGTTTGTCGATTGTTCATGGCTAGGTTCACTGGAGGTTCTATCTCTGGAGCTTTTCTCACTAGGGATCTGGCCCTTGGGTGGCTTAGTCTCCCAGAGATCCTGGCCACCATGCTCTGCCAAGGTCTCATCCCAGATGCCATGGTCCTCTGAGAGGTCCAACTCTCGTGGCCTAGCTCTTTGCAAATCAGGCTTTTTGCGTTCTGGCTTTCTGGGAGACTTATCCTCAATATCCAGGTCCTCACCGAGTGTGGGCACCTGCATCCTGGCTTTTTCAGAACAGTAGCCCCTAGGTTCGAGGCCTTTGGGGATCTGGTCCTCCGGGACTCTCATCAACTGCAGGCAGGGCCCTCCACGGTGTGGCTCTCTAGTGAGCCTGTTCTCTAAGGCCTGGTTATTGGATAGTGTGGGCAGCTGTGCTCTAGCCCTCCTGTTGCATGGATCCCTGTACTTGACCCCAGCAGTGGTTTTGTCTGTAGTGGCCAGGCTTTCCAGGGACTTGTGGGGTTGTGATTTCAGCCTCCAGGAGGAGTTATCTACATGGTCTGGGTCTTTAATGGTCCTCTCTCTGTAGAACTTGTCTTTCAGTGGTGGGCTTGTTTGTGACCCAGCCCTCACACAGGTCTGAGCCCTGTGGTCTGGGCACATGCTGGGCTTGTCTCTCATCTGGCTCGCCTCCGGGGATGTCAGTGTCTGTTTGAGAATTAGGTACTGTTGGGGAAGAGAAAAGACACTGTACCAGGCAGGACTGTCTGAGCATAGCAGGAGGCTTTTCCCTAACCTCCTCCCTTGGCCCTAAACGTGCAGAAAAGGCTTCAAATTAGTGGCTACCTCCTTACGGCTATTGATGGCCTGTTGTAGCCACAGCAGTTCCATGGCCAAGTGGCTGTGGTGGTACTGGAGTTCCTGAAGCTTGGTCTGGCTGTGGGGCAGTTCTGGACCTACAGCTTCTGTGAAGGAGGGAGGGAAAAAGGGAGAAGGCTTTTAGGGGTATACAGTGGGCACTGGCCTATCATTTGGCCCTGACACTCTCCTCCTGCCCACCCCTAAGTTGCCCTTAACCAGGCATCGGGAAGAAGAGAGATGCAGCTTATCTAGCACAAGCCTTTGGCGTTTCAGATGGGAAAGCTAAGGCTCAGAGAGTGTCAGGGGTTTGCCCTCAGTCTAGGCAGAGAGGTACCTGGGTTTTCCATCCCTGACATAGCTCTGGTCTCCTCTTGGCTGGGATTCCTGGCTTGCCTGCTGTGCTCATCCTGAGGCGGGGGACTGTCACCTCTGCAGGGAAGACTTCCCGAGTTTGCTGAGCTCTGTCCTGATTGCTTCAGCATCATCTCCCCAAAGACAGCTTCTCTCTCAGGTTCTTTACATGAGAAGCGGCCCCGCCATTGCTGTTCTGGATTTGGTGCCCTCTCTTGGGGTTTACAGGTCCGATGGGATTTTGCTTTCTGAGAAAACAGAAGTAGGAGAACCTGACAGCTAAACCTTCCAAATTTCTGGGTGCCAAGATTTAGCGTATAAGGCAGTAAGGACTAAGGACTGGGATATGAGGAGTGGAGTCTGCTGGTCCTTCCATTGAGAAAAACTTGTCAATAGGAAGGGTGGTTTCTACCATTTCCTCGAATCCCCTGCCCAGGTCCCTCCTTTCCCTCCCTTTTTCCACTGGGGTGTGTACTACCTCTGGGAGAAACTGGGGCCTGGGAATCCAACCCTCTGTCCACTGAAGCGTGCCCAGGTCACCCTCGATTTCGCGTACAACAGCCTCATACTCATCTCGCAGTCTCTGGATGTGGCGTCGGACCAAGAAGCCCCGGACGCAGGCCTGGTGTGGAGAATAAGGGGAAAGAAAACGCTTATCACTGCAAAAGTGGGGGGATTCCTGGAGGATTCTCCTGGAGAGCTCATCCCAGTGACTCTAAGAGGGGACCTGGCCGCGGGAAAAGGATAGGTGACGCTGTCAGAACAGTCTCCGCGGGTTCAAGGGAGGATGCTGGACTGGATCCACCTCTTCGATGTGAGGCCTTTCCCGCCACTTCCTGGATCCCGCAGGAACGTGTGGTGGGAGTGGAAGGCCGGTGGGGGCCCGTGGGTCCCAGCACTCGTCAGGGCGGTGGGGGTGGGTCGGTAACTCCGGAGGCGGGCACGAGGGTAGGTGGCCGAACGTGGTAGCTTCATCTCGTTCGAAGACCCCAGTCCGAGACCCCGTGGTGGGAATCATGCACTCCCAGCCCGCTCCGCACCTGCAGCACCGACACCCCGCGAAGCAACCGCTCCCGCTCCATCCGGGCGCCAACGGACCTGCCGCCTGCCGCGCGCCTGCGCCGTGCGTCACTAGTCCGCGCCGCGCACAGGCCCCGCCCCCGCCGTCTCCACGGCAACCTTGCTCCTCCCGCGGTGGCCGCCAGGTCCTGGCACCTGCCTCCAACTCCAGCTTCCAGAACTACGCTGGGAATTCCAGCTCCTGAGCGGTTCCGCCTAAACCAGTGTGTTGCGCAGCGGTGTCTCTGCGGAGGCCCGGGCCTGCGGTCCCCGGCCGAGTAAAGGCGCAAGGAGGGGAGGGAGCACACGGAGCCGGTGTCTTTCTTTCTGGTTTAATTTCATCCAGCGCCCCCCTCCCCAATAGCACCTGGGGGGCCGCGGAATACCCGATCGAGTTCTTAAAAAGTCACAGTTTGAAGGGAATGAGAGAGGCAGTCTGGTCCTGGGTCCGACACCTACACAGCTGACTGCTCCTCAGGCTCGGCATTCTCGGCCAGGTGCAACTTCTGTCTGTACCAGTCAAGGATTGCGATGCTTTGGACCCCAGTCTTTCCAGCCCTGTCTCCCCATCCTGAACAGGCTTAGTTTCCTCAATTGCACAAAGGGGCAGGGGCGAAGGACTCAGGTGGTCTGTGGTCCAGGTTGCAGTCCACACCTGCCCTTCTTGCTGGGTGGCTTCCCTCCCCTCCCACCAGCCCCCCTCCCCCCGCCCGCCTGCTCTTTCGCTCTAGATCATGCAGTTACATGCACCCGCACTACTTCTGGCTGAGACTAGATGCGGAGATCATCTAAATCAGTGAAAAATAATTGTTGAATGTTGAAAAAGTAGAAAGACATCAGGCAAGTTTTGCCATGGTGTCAGTAAAGTACTTGCAAAGATTTTCTGCCAACATGGGGCTTGAACTCGTGTTCCTGAGATCAAGAGTACCCTGCTCTACCGACTGAGCCAGCCAGGGGCCTCACTTGCAGGGATTTTCATAAGTAGATAAATCACATTCCCTGCAATGGCTTTTCTCCTGATATTCGGGAGAACTCTGCATGGGGGCAGTTTGTGGCCAATTCCGCTTTAGCAAGACTGAAAGAGGAGATGTTGGTTATATTGTAAATAGTCCTAGAGGGTGGTGAGGAGAAGAAAACTGATTTCTTCTGTGGGAGGTGGGGACACATGTACATGCTGCAAGGTCCCTTGAAAAGGATACATAGAGTTACTAAGATCTTCCAGCTGTCAACAGAGAGAAAAGGAGGTTTCTGTCAGGAGAGGCACCAGGCCCAGACCCAGATGCTTTTCCAGCCATCTTCTGGTGGGGGTTGAGGCTCCATGCACCCCCCAGCTTTTCACCCCGGGTCCAGGACTAGTCTTAGGATGATGTACCTCCCCCACCCTCTAATGTCCCCAAGAACCAAAGCACCCAGCCCTGACCCACATTGCTAAGCAGCTGGTCCAGGTTTCGGTCGGCCATCGTCTTCTTCTGCTCCTCTGGCAGTCCCTCAGTGACCCCGTCCTCTTCCTCCTCCTCTTCCTCCTCTTCTCCACACACGTCTAGGCTGAAGTGCAGCCGGGCCAGCTTCTCCTGCATCTCCCGCACGTGCTCCAACTGCTCAAAGGAGCATTCCTTCCCTGGACAACACCTGCCTGAGCCCTGGGAGCAGCTTGGGACCCTGGCCCCAGCCACCGCCCAGAGACCAGGCCCTCCAGCCGTGTCTGCCCCCGCCCCCACCCTCTCAGCCCAGCCCATGGGACTCACCGAAGGCCTGCAGCCGGCCTGAATGAAAATCATTGAGGAGGTTCAACAGTCCCCCCTCCATCTCATAGACGTCCGTCCCTTCGGTCAGAAACGAGTGCTGCAGCGGGGTGCCTGCCGAGCCACCCCCACTTCCGGCCAGCACCGGGCGGCATTTCTCCTTGCCTACCCTGGGTGGGGTAGGCATGGACCATAGTCACAGGGTGGGGGCGGTCTGGTACCCCAAAGTCTTTTATGCCATCTGTCTATGCACTAATTCATCTTCCTATCTACTCCCGACCATAAAGGGATGTTTGTTCTTCTCTTCTACCCTGGCACCAGGATTGGGAAGGGAAGGGAGCGGGTGAGGAGGGGGAGGCAGAAGAGGTCAAAAGAAATCTTTTTCTGCAGATGACACTCATAGCCAGAACCATGCCTGGAAGGCGGCTTTGGGGTTCTCGTCTGAGCCCTGCACTCATTCCTCCCATGGCTCTGGGTGAATCACTTGTCCTCACTGGGGACAGTTACTCCTTATTGCCACTAGAGCCCTCTTACCTCTCCCAAAAATGTCTTTCTGCGCTCTTCTATTTCAAAACGGTTTTGAATTTTCTTTGTCCCCAGGAAAGCACTGAAGGACCCTTCCCAGTCTGCCCCTCCCTTACCCACCAGAACCTTCTCTTCTGTCTCATTTCCTCTGTTCCTGCTCCAGCCCTGAGCTTCAGTGACACCCTACTGTGGTCATCCCCAGCCATATCTCTTGGGCAGGTAGTGTGCAAAGCCACAGGGAGGCACAGTAATGGGAGAAAGAACACCTGGTGCTTAGTGGGACACTAACAGGGACACATTTAGGGTAAGATGTAAATTCCCTACCATTAAGAAAAATTAAGCAGAAAATTCAAATTGTACTCCTGAGCATCCCCTTACCATCTCCTGCTCCATGACACTCCAGGGCCCCCAACCGCCTGTGATTCTGGGAACCTTCCAGGCAATGTTTTTCTTCCGTACTTATGTCACGCAAGCCCTTCAGCTTAGACATTGTCTCTGCCCTGTGTGCCCCACAGCCTGTCACTTTCCGGCAGCATTGCTCATTCCCTGCTGAGGGCATCAGCACAGTGTGGGATCCCAGTGACCCATCTAGCCTTTTCCCTACACTGAGGGCAAGGACTGGGTCTGAGGCATCTCCAAGTTCTTAGTCCAAGGGAAGGCATCAATCATTGCTAAGTAAGTAGGCTAAGGTTGGCTTTACTTCCTTCCCACAAGGCTTGAGTTGGGGGTCCCTCCCTCCTTGCCCTACTTTTCTTCTGTACCCACCTCTTGAACTTGGCTCGCTGCTTGGGGGATGGCAGATGAGGGAGTCCCAGGGCTAAGGAGCCACTGTGGCTGGTGGGCACGGGGACCCTTCGTAATGTGCCCGGGGCCTGGGCTGGCTGGGTCAGGCAGGGCTTGGGACTCCTTTTCTTCTTCTTGTCCTCCATTGGATGCTGGCTGAGCCTCAGGACCCACTGAGACAATGAGAGGCTAAGTCGTCACTTCCCCCAGCACCCCCTGAGAGCTGCAAAGGAAGGGCCCTGGGAACTTCTAACTGTCCCCTCATACCAACTGGGACCTCTGTCCCCTTCTCTGTCAAGTATGGGCAGGGCCAGATGTTGGCGCCTCACTGCTAGGGTCTTGGATGTGTAACGTGAAGGACCTTCCGTGACCCATCCCAGGTCTCCCACCTGGCCTCCAGCCCTAACTGAAAACCTGAGCCCTGCGTGAAAGGGCTGGACCAGATACCGTTCCTCTGCTGTTGGGATTTCCTGTCCCAGGAGCTGAGGGGGCGGGCCTGGGAGAGGAAACACGGAGGGGAGGGGCAGGGTGGATGTGAGCTGGCAGGAGAGGCCAGTTGAGGATTAGGGGTGTATTAACTAGACCTTCTTCTATTTAATCGAGTGTCCAGGCAGATGCTGACAAACCCTGTCAGCAAAGGGCGGTGACCAAGGTGTGGGTGGGGGCACCTGGGAAGACCTCGGTGTCAAGCAGTGGATGGGGGACGGAGGGAGAAGCCACAGCCTGCGGGACAGGGTTCACTGTGGGTTCCGCTACTTCTACACTGGCATCCCTCCTCTTCCGCCCACCCCCAACCGCAAACATCAGGCAACTCCCAGAAGTTCCCTGGGACAGGCTTCCTGCTGCTTCACCGTCCCCGGTCAGAAAGGCCCTGCTCCGCTTCAGCTGCAGCCAGGGTGGGGTGGGTGGTCGGGCAGCTGGCTGTCTTGGCCTCCAACAATGGCTGCGCCTGTGGCTGGTACCGCTCAGCCTCCGGTCCAGCTCCACCCCCTAAGTCTCAGGTCTGCCGAGGTCCTCCTGATGGAGGCCCGGGGCCCTTTACAGGGGCTTTCCCCAGCTGCTCACTCCAGGCTGCAGCCACCAAGCCCGCGTCTGCACTCTAGGATGGTGGCGGCGGCACTGGGGGCATAAGCATTGAAATTGGCACCCGGCTGGCTGTTCCCCAGGGGGTGTGTGGTGGAGAGGATATAGGAGCACGTCCTCTGCCATGCGTTGCTGCAGCTTGGCCCAGTTAAAGTCTTGATAGAAGAGCAGGAGCCCCTGCTTCCCAGGAATGGCTGGGGGCCACCTAGGATCTATTTCCTACACTCAGTGTTCAAAGCCGTGTGCCAAATGGATCCCTCAGCTGGGGAGCCAGGATCCGAAATGCAGCATCGGACCCGCGATGTTCCACACCTCCCCACACCCCGGAAGCGGGCAACTGACCTGGAGGTTTGGGGTCTGGAGTGAGGCAGAAGCGTGGTTCCCTCCGCTTAGCGCTCCCCTCCTAGAGAACTGAGCGTGTGGAAGCAGAGCTTGCAGGAGGTAATTTGCATTTAAAGAGAAAGTGACCTTTTTTTAGTGCTTGGGAGATGGGAGGAGCCTACAACAGTTACCAGGCTGCCCCTCTCACTGGACTTTACCTGCCCACCCGAACTACGATGGCTATGTTTGTTGTGTGATGGCAATCTAAAAATCTCACTTTCCCATCAGTTTTGGGGAGAAGCTACAGTCCCTTACAAAATGGTGCTGGCTTTGTCAGAAGGCCAGGGTGGAGGGATATGGATGGGGGGGGGGAGAAAATGGACACATGTAAAATATATATAAGCATACAAGATATATATACACATAAGCCTATAAGCAGCAGCAGCAGGAAGAAACTACAAGAAAAGACTACCATCTATTGAGTCCAGGTCCCGTTAAGCATTTTATGTGCGTTTGATCCCTGTAACAATCCTGCAGGAAGTTACTGTCATTATCCCCTGTGCTGAAAGTCAACTATAGTCTTGAGGGCAATACCACTCACTCCACAATACCCAGACACTCCTCACTGGTAAGCAGCGGAGGCTATATTCAGTCACTGATGAAGTGGTGGGACCACGCCTCCTCCCTCCCCTTCCCCAGTTCTAGGAGACGCGTGTGGGGAGCACCAGATCAGAGGAAGATCGGTGCCATTACCTGGCACTTGACCCCAGCCCCCAGGAGGGAAACCTGAGCGCCACATGGAGGGCGACCCAGCGCTGCCCGCACTGCCTGGGAGGCCAGATCAATGGGGCAGCTATTTAAAGACCTGGCAGAGGCTCCCAGCTCAGGTCCCCAGAGAACCATCTGATGCAACAGGAGACAGGCTTATCCTTGGCCAGGCTGCCCTGCAGTCTCAAATAACTGCCCCAGGGCAATGTGCAGAGCCCACTGTTCACCTTCCCCTGCCAATGGGCAGGAACAGCTTTCCTGCACCTAATCCTTCCCACAGGCACCCATGCAGGGGCTCTTTTCCAGGTTCTTCCAACACCTAGACTGTTCCAGAAGGGGACACATTAACCCAGGACTTTTTAAATAACCAGAGGTTGGAGGGAGGGGTCTGCACAGGCAGAGAGGACAACTGGGAAGCTGCTGTCCTCCAGCTGCTAGAGAGGAGAACCAGGGCTCCTCCAGGAAAATGGTGGCAGGTCCTGAGACACCACTATGGGTGAAGTTATTCTCAGAGATGCTTTGTGAGTTTTAAGAGTTGCGGCAGCCTCCCCTGACTTCTTCCAAAGGATCTTTGACGGAAGCCATTGTGACCAGCACAGAAAAGTATCAACCCATTTGGACCCTGATTAGAAAAGGCAGAGGCTCTGAGAGGACTGTCACAGCCAGTGTGGACACAACTGCTCATGGAGGCCTGGAGGGAAGGGCCCTTTAGTTGTCTCTGCCATTTATTTGTTGGGCATTCACATACCATCCCTTGTGCCAGACCAAACCCAGGCTCTGGAGAGAATAGGGTGCTGGTGAAGCCACAATAGGATGCCTCCCATACAGAAGCCTAAACTTTTGCGCCTAGGCTTGGCAGGGTGAACAGGAGTGTTTAAGAAACCAGCCCATTCTTCAGGACTGCATGCAGAATGTGGTCTTCTCAAGGAATGTACAAAATCAAAAGAACTCAGAGGTAGGTCAATGCCAGAGGATGCGGCCTGTGACAGCCCTGAGCAGCAGGGATTAGTATCCAGCCATCTGATTTTGGGCCTCAATTGGCCTATGCCTCTCTGGTTCCCTTACCTTATGCCTTCTGTCGATTTTCCCAATGTGCTAAATACCTTTAGTGGTTCCTCCTGCCCTGTGGATCTAGCCCAAATCACTTAACTTGGCACACAGGCTCCTGGTGATCTCCCACCACCCATCCTGGGCACCTGCATTTCTAGGTAAACTACTTCACTACTAAGTTGTCAAACTTCTACCTGCCTTTTGGGTCATAATTCCTTTCCAGGTGTCCACCCCTATCTCCTTGCTGAAGGGGACAGAGACCTCCTTTATGCTCCCACAGCACCACTGACTTTTCTGTATCTGAAAGTATCTTTCTCCAGGGTGCTTGCTGGCTCAGTGGTAGAGTATGGGACCCTTAACCCAGGGGTTGTGAGTTCAAGCCCAACGTTGGGTGCAGAGATTACTCAAAAATAAATAAAATGCAGTATCTTTCTTCATCACTAGCCTGACCCTTAGTGGGCAGGGGTAACCTCTGACTTAAATGAAAAATATCTGATCCTTCTATGGATATGAGCATCATGCCAACTTTGGCAACGGCTTTGCTTGGGCAGCTCAAATGCATTAGCCCATGGTAATTCCTGGAAGGCAGCCAGAGGGGTGCTCTGGAAGATGCATGAAAGCTGGGCACAGCCAGAAGCTTTGCAGTAGAGCCAGACAAGTCAGTGCTCGCTAGATGGATCCAGAAGCACCAATGACCACAAAGGTCAAAAGATAAACAAGTAAGGCAACAGACTCTTTATTTAATGTGGTTTAAAATACATCAAAATCAAGTCCCTGGCTGTTGTGAATACCAAAAGGAGACAAAGAGGCTGTCAGCACAGCTTTAAAACAAATCTGGGCGGCCAGGTTGAGCCACATGGGAAGCAGTTACAGGGACAGAAGGCAGCACCCCTCCCCCAGGCAGATACCTGGCTGTCCCTGGGGTGACCACCTCTGTGCTGCAAAGGTGGGAGGGCTGGAGCCACAGCTGGATAATCCACTCAGCAGGCCTTGGCCCTCCCCAAAGCCACGAGGGCAGTTCGACTGGCCTCTTGGTCAGCCCTCAGCAGGGCCACGGTGATGGGGGCGGAGGAATGGAAATAACCATCTTTACAGACAGAACATTCTCCTACAGAAAGTGCCTGAGCTCAGCCCATGGTCCGAAAGCCTCATGGAAAACAAATTATAACAAAGTGCTGCTGAAACCTCTTCACAATCTGGTGTATGTGAGGCTCTCAGCTGGACAAGGTCCTGAACACAAATTACCGTCAGCAGGGACAAGGGCTCAAGGCTGTGAGCCTCGCCGGCTCTGGTCCCCTGGAGGAAAAGCTAGCAACTGAAGAATCCAACACAGCACTTGGTCCTAAAACTGAGGTCACGTGCACGGGACCTGCCCTGGTGAGGAAGGCACTGGCCTTCATTCAGATAGGCCGCCTTCCCCGCATCTGGCCCAGGCTCCTGGCTGGTGAGGGCAGCACCCAGGTACCTGGGTTGACTTTGGAAAGCAGAACGAACAGAGCAGCTGTAGTGATTGGTGTGATGTGGTCAACGGAGAGGAAGAGAGAAAATGGGACTCCCATCTATAGCTTGGTCTGGATACCTAGACATGGCTGGAGCTGAGAGCAAAGGTTTGACTTGCCCAGGACCTAGATTCTGGACCTGGGAAGACCAGCTGGGGCCACACCGTAGCTCACCGTAGCCCCACAGTAGTTAGACTGGGTCTCAGAGGGCTGCTGTGCTGCAGTCATGATTCCCCACCACCACACTGGGCTCCAACAGCTCCCCCTATCCCCCCCCCACCCCCCGACCCCATAGGCTCTACGAGGTAGCTGAAGCAAGGGAGGCAATCACATGGGCTACTGCAGGCCTCCTGCTATTTAAAGCAGGCAGGCAGAAGCTTCTGCCTCTTCCGTGCTTCCAGAACCCAGCAAACCCTGTATGGGGTTGGCAGTTCTTGTGTGTCTCAGCCTGACACAGGCATTGTTGGAAGAAGGCCTTATTGGGGCAGGAAAAGGCATATCCAGGGACCATTCCAGACACAGGAATTTCAGAGGGAAAGATTTCAGGAACATTTCTCCACAGGAGGGAAGAAGCTCAGCCAGGGATGGCAAGTAAGTCTCAACACTTCTACTGGCTGCTGGGGGAATCTTGGTTAATGAGGATATACCAGAGGTTAGTGGAAAACACTCTAGGCCAATTAGTGGTATCTGCCATGGGGGGCAGAGGGACAATGGTGTGCCATTCATTTGCCATCTCTGTTCTAGGTCATAACATGATTCAGGAGTACTTAACACTCTTCATGAACCTATTTATGTGAGGGACTGAAGTAAAAGGTGTGGAGAGTGAGCTGGTCGTGCAAGATGAAGGGACCTGAAGGATAATGAAATCCAGCAAGAAAAGCTCTATGACCCTGTGCCTCCCTCAGCTGCACCGAAGCCAAGGCCTGGCTAGAGGTGGGATCTAGAACCTCAAGCCCAGCAGAGCCCAGCCTCTGGGTCTGAGACTCGTTCTGTTGTTCCAGAAAATTGCTCTGCACAGACTGGTTAGTGCCCTGGCAAGTGTGCAACCAGCAGAACTTTCAGTCTAGAGTAGCAAGTTTGGGGGGCAGGGACCAGACACAAATATTTGCAGCCACCTGTGGATTTCTGAGGCTCAGCTGTCAAGTCTCACTCTATCCCTTAGCTATCAGACAAGAGCTGGGAGGTGGAATGTCAAGGAGGACATACTTCAGCTCTTATTCCTTGGGCAATGGAACCAGGGCAAATCTCAAGGATTGCACATTAGGGATGGGGTTAGAAGCAGAAACAGATTCATAAAAGCCAAAGGGACAGTTGGGCACGGGGCCCAGCAACTTCCGCATGGAGACAGTAGTGATGGGAATCAGCGGTGGCCTCCCAGGATTGAAACACAAAGGCAAGCTTGTGGCAAAACCATTAGATGCCCTTTCCTTTCTCCTACCACAAACAATCTGGTTTCACCAAACAGGAAACCTCAGCACCAACGTGGCAAAGGTACCAGGTCGGATGGTGAGGGTGGTGGCACTGGAGACCCAACTGCTCCAGGACCCCTCCTCCTCCCTCAGATCAACACACACACGGTCATGTGCAAAACAAAAAAACAAAAAACAAAACCTTCAGAAAGCATCCTTTGGGTGATCTCTTGTCAATCATTTGTGCAGGCTAGAGAGGCACCTGTGAATGATAAGGCTACTGAGAAGCATCACTGGCCTGGTCCTGGCACCACCTGAGGGCAGGGGAAGCGGTGCCTGGGGGCTCCCTAACAGTGTACCAGCCCACAGCAACTTTCCCCTGGTCCCCCGTCCGAGGCAGGACAGCAGCTGGATCCCTGGCTGTGCGGGCCCTGCCAGGGCTCCGCCCAGGGACCCCTTCTCCAGGTTGAGAAGCAAAGGAACTTCCAGGGGAGCTAGGAGAGCCAGGACTGCCCAAGCCCTGCTAACAAGGGAAACACGGTCAAGGCCTGAGTGTGTCACTTGTCACGAGCCCTGAAGGGCAAGTCTAGGGAGGGGTCTAAGCCTCAAATCAGGCAGGGGAATGCTCAAGTCACTTGTCCTGCCAGCTCACTGTGACAGCAGCTACAGATGACAGCTTTTTAAGACTCTCGAGCTCCTAGAAGAGCCAGTGACTTCACCTGTACACACCCCCAACCTCCAGTGCAAGCCCACCTTACACTTACAGATAGAAATGTAGGAGGCCTTGCACATATGCCGTATGTATGTAAAACTGACCCACAAAATCCAAAACTGCGAAGTGTCAGATGCCAGCCAGGTCAGAGCACCCTGGGCCTCAGCACTGGACTGCTTGGCGGCGGGAGCCTTGCATGGGCCAGGCCTGGCTGGGCGGCTTGCTCCCTTCCCAGCATGCCCCCCGTGCCAGGCTCCCTAGGCGGTGGTGGAGGTGGGCTCCTGGCGCCCTGCTTGGCTGAGTGTTTCTGTGCTTGGTGCTCCAGGGCAGCAAGGAGCTTCTGTGGCCCTTGGGGAGCTAGGTGACTGAGCCCCAGGCCCTTCACCACCGTGCTCCTTGGAGGCAGCTGGAGCCTCTGGCCTTTGCTCAGGGCCACCATCAGTGAGGGAGCCCTGGCCACCAGCACTCAGGTCCTGTACCCTTTTGTTCAGGTCATTGCGTTCTGTCTGCAGCGCCCGGCACAGCTTCTCCAGCCTCTGGATTTTTACCTGCAGGCCCTCCAGCTCCTTGTCCCGGAGTGTTTTCTAGGGGGAGAAATGGAGCCTTTAGTGCCATGCCATCAAACCCCCATGCAACAGTACCTCTTGGTAGAAAACATCCACACTTAAGCATCACTTAAGATGCTGGGGGCAGACCAGAGTCAAAAGCTGGTCCCTTCCTAGGAAAACAGCCCTGGTGTGATGCCAAGACGTGGCTGTAGGTAGGGGGCAGTGTGGTGCAGAGAGGGAGCATGACAGTGTGTTTCTCCATTTATCCACCAGATGACCTTGGCAAAGTTAAGACTTGGCTTTTGAGCCTACTCCCTTATCTGTGAAAATGGACTACTAACACCAACCTCACAGATCTTGAGAAGATTCGATGAACAGGCATTATCTAAATCATTCAGGAGGGTCTGGCATACGTAGCTACGCCAGCAGTTAGTTCCCTTCTCCTACATCTCAATCCACGAAATCAAAGTAGCTGAACTACTCTGCACATAAACTGTGTCCATCATTGTAGCCCTTAGTTTTTCCGTTCCTGTGTTTCTTTCTTCCATTTGTTCTCTTTGCTTCTACTGCAGACCTGCTACTGGGCTCACCATCTCCCACAGGGAAACAGCTGGCAGTGCCTTTGGACTTGGACAGATGGACACGTGAGTCCCAGCTTCACCTCGTGCCAGCTGCAGGACTTACTGGTCAAAGTAGAGGAAAGGGCCGAACACTCAAAAACTGCACCCGCCTCCCCCCAGCGGCAGAGCACACACAGCCCACCTCCTCAGCCATCTCAAGCAGGGCCTTGTTGCTGCTCTCCCACCGGGACCGATACATGGTGGTTTCTTTCTCCAGCTTCTTGATCTTCTTAGTCATCTGGGTTATGGGGCAGACAGAAGGAAATGGTCAGGGGCCAGACTGTCTACGCATCTGTGTCTCCAAGGTGGGGGAACAGTCCTGAGGGAGCAAGGCATTACAGGGCAGAGTCGGTGCCTTTGGTGCCACACCAGGACATCTCAAGTTAAGTGCCACCACCAACAACAGAAAATGACAAGGCTGCCCCTTCCCCTCGGACAACTTGAAGGATGCACATATCAGTGATGCTTGAGGGACTGAAGGATGCACATATCAGTGATGCTTGAGGGAGTGGAAAGGTTCTGATGCTTCCTTACAGCCCACCTTTGCTGACAATCACACTGTTACTGTAAACAGCTCCCCACACAAAGCACCCCAGGGGCTGGGGCTTCCTGACGATAGGCCCAGTGCTCAATTCTGAATGAAGCAACTTGTGCCCTGGAGCCATATGCAGTCTGGACACTGTTACCTTTTCCATCTCCTGCTTGAATGTGGTGAACACCTCACTGCTTTTGGAAAGAGTGTTCTGGAACTCTTCAAACTTTTCCGTGTACAGGGCAAGCTGGGTGAAAAAGAAGTCCGAAGATTAGGCTTCTCCGGGGGGCACTTCTGGTTAACACGGTCAGATCCATGCTTGGACCTCTGACCTGACAATTCTATTGAGGTACCCTTTTTCTTTAAAGCAAAAAACTGTGTATTTGGAAGGACAGAATCCAAGATGCTAAGCGTGGAAAGCAGGATTTATGCTGCCTTACATTTTGCCTTTATGTTTGTTTTCAAACTTTCCTTCGGAAATTAAGTACAACTTATGTAGTTAAAAACAACCATCGCATCGCTGCCTCCTCAAAAGTAGCACACGCTTCCAACTAGGAACGAGGTCCTTCAAGCTCACCTAGCCACCTGGTCACCACCACAGGTGCCTGGCGGGTCCAGAGGGAACAAAGGCTCAGCAAGGTCACACAGCAGTCAAAGTGGTCCTAGAACGAGGGTCCTATTTCCCTCCCCCAGGATGGATCCCAGCGAGGGGCCTCAGATGCACAGGGTCACGACACACACGGTCTCACCTGCTGCTTCAGGTGGGTCTCCTGCTGCTTCATCAGCTCACACATCCTCTGGGATTCCACTGCCTCTTTGAGGAGCTGTTTCCAAGACAGGACCCCGGATCCTGTCAGAAACCCCTAGGGGCTGTTTGGCTTTTTTTAAGCCACATGCCCCAGAGCCCGCTGAGGCTTCCTGCTCTCAGACTGCTATCTGAGGGAAAAGTGTCCTGGTCTGGCCAGGCGGCAGCCTCTCCCTTACCAGCTTAACTATGAGCTGAGCTGGAACCCAACCCACCTCATCCCAGACCCTCCACCCCCGGGGCCCGAGCCTCACAAAATCCTTCTCCCGCTGGTGCCTCTCCTCGGCCTCCTTCAGCATCTCCTGGGCCTGCTGGAGCTTGGCATCCACCAGCTGCTGCTGCAGGTCCTTGTGTTTGAAGACTTTGTCGATGTGCTGCAGGAAAGCACGGTGGGAGGGCCACCTGTCAGCGGCACCCTTTCTCAGGGAGGCCTGGCGGCTGCAGGGACATCCCATCTGCAGAGACGAGGGTCTCCTGCCCATCCTCCCATCTCGCTCTGACTCCCACATCTACCATAGCACATGGGCCCCAGATCCCCGGAAGACCTACTTCCCAACCTCACCTTGTTTCTCTCCAGTCAGTCCTGGGTGTGCACAGGGATGAAATCGGCTCCCAGGAAGCCAAGAAATGAATACCCTCAAACCTCCAGCCCCAAGAGATCACTCCGCTGGGCTAACAACCCTCCCTTCTGTGGCCCGACTCCCTTGTAGATGGGAAGAAAGGACAGAAACAACACCTCCACCAACACAACGGCTTAGCTCAGTTGGCAAAGACCCGCCCCACCTACAAAGATTAGATGTGCAGATTTCGAGGAGTGGCAGTCCTAACTGCTGGAGGAGCCCTGGGAGCCGGGACCAGGTGAGAGGGCAGGAACGGAGAGAAGGTGATGGACTCAAGTACTACTTCAGAGGTCAAAGCAACTGACAAAAAGGAACGTGGGGATTTTATATACTTTTTGGACAGTGAAGGAGAGGTGGCTTGGAGACGGGTGATGGCTGTGAGGGACACCTCACCTCCTCCCGCAGTTCATACTGCTCGATCAGCTTCTTGAGCCTCTCGGCCAGCTCCATGTTCTCCTGGCGGAGCTTGGAATTGCGCTCATTGTGCTGCTCCATCTGCAGCTGAATGTCATTGAGTGTCACCTGGAAGTGTGAGGTCACCTCCTTGCGTTTCTCCTCTTCTTCCCGGGCCCGCTGCACACCTTCTTCCTGGGCAGAGAAGTCAGCCCCAGCTTCATCACCCGCTGCTCCCCAGCCAGCAATGGTCTGTACCAACAACCCCCTCTGCTCTCCAAGTCAGGAGCAGCCAGGTTCCAAGAAGTCATGCAAAAAGGGCTCCTAACGAACCCGTCTATCAGGTGACATCAAGTGAGAGATTGTCTTCCTAGAAAAACGCAGGCATACACGTAACTGCCATTCTAAAGCAGCCTAGATCTCCCGAAGCCCTTTCTTCCACACCTCAGGTTAAGAAGTCTTAATTTTTGTGCTTTCATCTCTCCCTTCCCCACCCCCAACCAACTCAAATGCAGTAATCCCAGGGTTGGCTAGACTGTGCAGAATCAGGCACGCAGACATATTGGCAGGAAGGCCATCTGGCTAAACCATTAACGTTTATAGTGTGTATGCTCTTTGACCCAGACATTTCACTTCTGAGATTTATCCTATGGATAAATTCTATATAATTAGCCAGGGACATATGTAACAAGAATTTTCACTTTGCTCTACTAATGTAATAGTGAAAAATTAGAAAAATCCCCAGCGATTCCTTAACTAAGGCACTGATGAAATACAGTATATCCATACAACAGTGCTGTTAAAAATGAGTTACTCCTAAATTGATAAGGAAAGAGAGGCATTCATTATGCAAAGTGACAAAACGAAACAGAATATGAAACAATAGAAGTATAGCTATTCCATTTAGAAAATCCTATATAAGACTACATACGTGTTCAGGAAAGTCTAAAGTCTGTACATAAACTTACATGTAAGTAGTTACTTCCCAGCAGTTTCTACGGGACACTGGGGTTGAGGAGGGTGGGCAACTGTCACCTTTGTTATACTTTTGTCACCTCTGAATCTCTCACATCAAGTTTATGTTAAAGTTGAAATGTTTTCAAAGACAAACTAAAAATGAGCAAAACAAGTTGCAAACTACCACATATTTGCCAACCCAAATCTGTGAGGGATAAAGGATACACATAAAACCGCCCCCAGAGGTCACAGCAGTGACTAGGCTCTGACCACATGAACCTCCTCCTAGGAGAGGCAGAACCGGGAGAAAAGAGCCAGCATCCGGGACTGCTGGAATCTGCAAGAGGAGCCACCTGGCAGCACAGGGCCCCGGCCTCCCTGCGAACTGCTAGGGAACGGAGCGGTGCTGAAGCCCTGTGTCCTGGGCTCCCTCAGCACCTCGGCCCTCACCTTACGGGATACTAGTCCAGGTCAAGTGGTGACTAGATGCTCTAAGGTAGGGCGCCGCTGGGGACATCTAGTTCTCTGCTCCAAGCCCGCGCTACTTGCTGAGGGCAAAGCCCATCAAGAGAGGAGCTGGGGGGGGGGGGGTGCCCACCTTGAGGGAGCGGTTATGGCGCTGCAGCTCGCGGCACAGGCTCTCCAGCTTGCTGCGGGCCAGCACGGCCTTGCTGTGCTCCCCACGCAGGTGGTCCTTCTCCTGCACCAGCTGGCTCTGCTTCTTCTGTAGCAGCTTCATCTGCTTCTGGGAGTTCCGATGCTCCTCCAGCTGGGGGCAGGGAGGGCAAGTAAGTGCCCCGTGGGACTCTTCCCAAGGGCCCCTCCCCAACCCCATCTCCCGACCCTGGCTGTAATCGCTCCAGCTGGACGTGGTGCAGGAGCTTTACACACTTTGATAAACCCAGAGGCCCCATCTCGAGGACACAGAGACAAGTGCCCAGGACAAGCAGGGGTGCAGATCCCAGTTTCTGTAACTGCTCTGACTCAAGAAACAGCTCTCAAGACTCTCAGGCCATTACACTCCCTCAACTCTTGGGACACTCATGCCCTCAGACGAGATCTCCTGCCACCCCCTCCTTGTACTCACTAGACCCATCACTCCCTCTTGCTACCCCGAGACTTAGCACCACTTCTCTCACCACGATTGCTGTTATCATTTTGGTCTTACATTATGGACAGACTTTAACTTCGTTCTCAGACCCTGTCCTCTCCGCAGATCAGCTTCCCTCCCATGAGCCTATTCAATGCAGCTACAGTGTGACTCAGTTATGTAATTACAGTTTTTCTAGTGGCTACAATAAAAAGGTAAAAAGTAGGGGCGCCTGGGTGGCTCAATCGGTTAAGTGTCCGACTTTGGTTCAGGCCATGATCTCATGGTTCATGAGTCTGAGCCCCGTGTTGGGCTCTTTGCTGACAGCTCGGAGCCTGGAGCCTGTTTCAGTCTGTGTCCCTCTCTCTCTCTGCCCCTCTCCTGCTCACACTGTGTCTCTCTCTCTCTCTCTCTCCCCCAAAAATGAATAAATGTTAAAAAAAAAAAAATTAAAAAGGTAAAAAGTAGATGAAATTAACATTAGTAAAATATTTACTTAATCTAATACCTGAATATTTTAATTTCAACCCGAGATCAACGCAAAACACTGGAGATATTTAATTCTTCCCCTTTCCTCAGGTGTTTCAAATCTGATGTGTATCTTACAACACATCCAAACTCAGACGAGGCGTACTTCAATTGGCCAGTGCTTACTGTCCTGGACAGTCAGGTCTAGACTTTGTCATTACTCAGAAGCACATGCACCTCCCTTATCTCATCCCAGGGCAGGACCAACTATAACCTATCATTCTAGCTCATTCCAATATCTGTGGACCCAGAAATTCTACCATACTGGACCTCCAACTCAATGACCCAACCATCCTTTCACTTTCCTTGAACCCTTCTTTATTTTATATGTAAAACATGTAAAGAGAGAGAAAGAGAGAGAAAGAGTGTGTGTGCATGCATGTGTGAGCAGGAGAGAGGCAGAGAGAGAGGGAGGGAGGGAGGGAGAGAATTTTAATCAGGCTCCACACTCAGCCTGACACAGGGCTCAATCCAACAACCCTGGGATCATGACCTGAGCCAAAATCAATGCTTAACCGACTGAGCCACCCAGGGGTCCCAAACCCTCCTTTAAATGACCACCGACCTTCTCACCTGGCTTAGATTTCTTACATCCTCAACTCTCTTGCCCCCTTTTCCTGATAAACCCCAACCCTGATATATCAACCTTCTGAGTCCTCTGCACTGGCACTGAACCAGCCCTGCCTGAAGAATTGCACTTTAAATTTGTGACCACCCCTCTGGGGAAGACCCTCGTCTGCCTCGCAGCCCAACTACATCCCTCCTGTCACTCATACTCCTCTTCTAGACAACTACTTCTTTTCTTTTTTTAATATTTATTTTTGAGAGACAGAAGAGAGCACAAGCAGAGGAGGAGCAGAGAGAGAGAGGGAGACACAGAATCCGAAGCAGGCTCCAGGCTCCAAGCTGTCAGCATAGATGTGGGGCCTGAACCCACCCACTGTGAGATCGTGACCTGAGCCAGAGTCAGACGCTTAACAGACTGAGCCACCCAGGTGCCCCCAGACAACTATCTCCTCCTCCTTTTCACCTCTCCTCAGCCCCAGCAGGGAGATCCCATCTCCCTGGGAACAGAAGCAACCAGAGGGGGTGGCACAAGCTACACCCCTGCCCATCCACCTCCACCTGCTCTCTCCTCCAGTCACCGGGCCCCAGGTGTGCTTCCCATCACAGCCGACCCTCTCCTCATGCTCTGGCCCTTACCTCCTCGTCTACTTGAGAACATCACCCTAGTGACTCAGCTCCTCCTCTCTGGCTTCATCAATCATTCCCTAGCTGGCTCATTCTGAAGGGGTGCTATCTTTTTCGTACCTTGTCCTTTATTTAGTGGTTATAATAACCCCAGTAGGCAGATGCGATTTTCCCCATTTTACAAATGAGACCACTTCTCTATAGAATTCCAGGTAATAAATGTAAATGGAATGAAAGGATTTAAAAATAAGTAGTTAGGCAATGACCCTCAGTGGATGAATCCGTTCACTCAAATTCTGATGGAAACCTGTCAAGGGAGGAACCTGGCTGGCCCCACCTGAACCCAGTGGACAATCTTCCATCACTGAAAGTGGGAGCAGCACACTCTGTTTCTCTACAGAGGACCATTTATGAAGAGTTCTGATCAAAAGAGCTGAACTCAGATCGGATCAAGCTTCTACAGCTGATTTCCATTTTATCTACAGGAGGTAAAGGGACAAGTTAAATGCTACCACCAAGTGAGAAAGTGAGATACCCTACAGAATAAGTGACCTGCAATAAATCAATGTCATGGGGAAAACAGCAGGCAGTAAGATGAAGACTGTTTTGGAGTAAAAGGAAAAAAAAGTTAAGGACCCAAAGTATTAAATAGACCTCCTCTGGCCCGACTGTCACCAAACTGATATTTTAAACAACTGGGGAAATTTGTGTACTAAAGAACATCACACGATTAATGCTAGTCTTGTCAAGTGTGATGACGACGGCACTGTGCGTTTCCATATTTTGGGGAGATGTACACTGAAGCACACAGGGGTGAGCTGACACGGTGTCTGGCACGGTGGCCAGGCAGCTAGGGCTCGACCACTGGAATGTGAAGCTTCTCCTCTTACAGTCAGCCTGGAAGAGGCCGGCTGGGACTTGACTCCCCACTTAACGGATGGGGAAAAGACTCAAAGAGGTTGAAGAGCAATTAAGCCACCCACCTGCCCCTGCACCCTCCACCCCACGCCAGGTGGCCTGCTGACTTTCCAAGGCAGGGCGGGTGCAAGAAGGGGGAGAACTGACCAGTTCAGCATACTTCTTGCACAGAGCTGCCAGCTTCTCCTCTGGGGTGCTCAGCGTGTTCAGTGTCTGCATCAGCAACGTGATCTCCTTCCCTGCAAAGCACAGGGAGCAAAAAAATGTACCCCCTTCTCTGGGGGTCTCCCCAGGCCTGGGCCCACACTCTTCCGCAGCCCTCTCTCCTCATACTTTACACTTCTGTTTGTTGAAGTGGCTGCCGACCCGTTAGACCGTGTGCTTTATGAGGTTTGCTGCCAACCCAATTCTGCCTATTGCTGTGGTCCCAGTACTGCCCGGTACCGTCCCCAGTGCCCACCTCAGAGGACATACTCAACAAATGCTTAATAAATGAATGACTGAATATATGTGAAGACTCCCTGGTGAACACCAGGGGTGGGACCACAAAAGCTGCCTGCTCTACCAACAGGAGAAAAAAAAATGTCCCATCTGCAAATTACATGCTACTGTTTCAATGCAAGGAAGGCCCTCATGAAAGAAGGATGCAAAAAGGAAGAGGTCTCCTTGAGAACTACAAAACTCCCTTCAACAGAGGCAGTCAAATAGCGAACTTTATTTATTTTTTCCCTCCCCCACCCCTTCCAGACAGTGAACTTTAAAACACATATACCTTCCAATATTTGACTCTAAGAGTAAGTAACAACAAAAACAAACAAAAAACCTTCTTTCAATCAGGATGACAGGCAGGAGGTGGGGAAGCAGGGACTAAGACACGGATATAATATCACCTAACTTTGATTCTTTAACACACATTAGCCGCCCAACCCTCCAATGACTTCCCCTCACTGTGCCTGAGTCGAGTCTGCCTTCTGTCTCCCTGGAAGGCCACTGCACATAGCACAGCATCAGGCTCCTGGAGTGTCAACCTTGGGAGGCTCCAAAAGATCGGTGCGGAGACCGCAAAGCACATGTACACAGGCCAAATCCAACCCAAAGAGGGGTTCTGTTTGCCTCCTAGCATATTAGTTGTCAATTGCTAAAACTCCAGAGAAATTTCATGGCTATACTTAGCTTGTAATGTTACATGCTATCGACAAGCTGGGACCAACCAAGTGGCAATCACCTCTCTGGATGAAGTAGGCGATGTCTTGGTCTTCATGGGGCCCTCTGTCTAACTTGGCTTATTTGAGTTTTCAACCCTGGTCTAGTCTAAATCTTATTGTAGACAAGTGAAAACTAAGGACCAGAAGGAGAAAGGTCTTGCCCAAGTTCACAGTGCAGGTTAGAGACAGTGCTGGCTGACATAGGAGCCCACTCAGGCCTCCTGCTCTCCATTTTCTCAAAGACAGAGAAAGCAGGCTAGATTTTGGTTCTTACTTCCTTCCAAGGCCAGAAGTCCCTATGCAACGAACAACTCACACACCTCTCTGTACTACGGCCTACAGCCCCAGCTTAGATCAAACTAATGTAACTTGCTGCTCTGGGAAGTAGTTTCCTCTGAATCCTGGCAGAGCAGGTTAGCCCAGGGAATGTTGGGTCCAAACTCCCCACCTTACCAGCCTCACAAGAAGCTGCCCTCTGCTCACCCAGACCCTTGGCTTTCTTCTTCTCCTGTGGCCTTCGGTGATCTCGGTCTCCGACCTCGTCACTTGCTCGGATCTCATCTGTGCCCGGCTCCCCTTTAGAGGTCTCCTTCTCACCATTGACTACTGGGGTCTCTGGCTCAGGCTCCCCATTCCTCGAGGCATAGGTCCGGGACTTGTCTGCATCTTCGGGTTCAGCAGGCTCACCTTGTGCCCCATCCTCACCTGGGCCCCCCTGATTGTTGTCTACACAATATGTACTCAGGATGTCTTCCAGCTGGCGGCTCAGCTCCTCAGAGACATCTCGGAGGGCCCCGGACTGAGCAGTTTTGGCTTGTGCTCCTACAGCAGGGCAGGACAAGGGGCAAAATGAAAAACAAGATGGTTACACCAGCAGTTGGAATTTCCAGGCCCAAACTTATTGGTTTGGGTTACATATTGCCCACCTTCTTTAAGCATCAGTTTACTTACCTATAAAATGATACAACTATGTCCTACTATTGCCCAACCATGTGTTTTGTGAGTGTCAAACAAATCAAGGAAATAAAGCATCCAGCACATAGGGCTGGCACACAGCTGGAGCTCAACGTCTAGTACATCCCCTTCTCCTCACTGCAAGAATTATTTCTTGCTATTAAAAAAGTTCCAGGAATGGCTCCAATATGAAGAGCAGTTACCCACTGGTGAATGAGGGGTTTCTAACCCGGGTTGGCTGGTTGGGTGTCTTCTTTGGCTGCCCCCTGATTTAATCCTGCCAGAGCCTTCTCTCAAGAGTTCTGTTCCAGTGCATACAGTGGGAGGCGCTATCACCCCCCCACCCTCCCCACTCCGGGAAGCTGTACGGATCTGGGGGTGGGGGGGCGGGTGGCACAGACAGCGGCCAAGGCCTCTGACTCCAGAAGCTACCCTGGCGCACCACAAACTCCTCCCCCTGCCCGCTGGAAAGCAGAGCTGGCACACACCCTCAGTCTTCCCCGGAGCCTGGCTGGAAGAACCTTCGGCTTCTGTCGCAGGAGTCGACTGGCTGGGCCGCCCCTGGGCGCCCTCTGGTCCTGCTTCCGCTTGCCCCGGGTTGCTTTTTGCATTGGAAGTGTTGCCCGACTGCTTGGCAGCCCCATTCTTTTTGTCTTGGTTCTTCATTGTGCTCTGCGGTGCTAGGCTGGGCGCGGATCCTATAGAAACAAACACACTCTCTATTCTCCAGACTTCAATAGTCTTCACAGCCTAGACCCGAGATGCCGGTACCGGGTGCTCAGAGCTTCTTAAAACACGCCGGCCGGCCTTCACGGGAGGGAGCCAACGGTTCTGCCTCTGGCCAGTGAAGGAAGCTCGACGCGCCCAGGCAGGTTTGCAGGACGCCGCTCCAGAAGCGGGGCAGGCGAGGCCTCCTTTCTCGATCAAAGCCGCTTCTCGGCACTACACGACCCCCTCACTGCAGGCCCAGCGCGGGATAGGCTCAGGGCCGGAGACTGACGTGGCGGGACGCTCGATTCCCATCCCTCCCCCGGCCCCCAGGCCCCACGTGGGCCCCCCCGCGCGCGCAGCCACCCACGCCCCGCGCGCCCTCCAGCAGCGCGCACCGCCCGCCAGCGCATGCGCAAAGGCCTCAGCCCTGCCCCCCCCCCCCCCCCCCCCCCCCCCCCC